TTCAAAGCGGAAGCTCGAGCTTCTGAGCGAAGGCTGCGACGAAAATGACGGCGGTAAGGACTCCACATACTTCATTGTAAATAAGAAGATGCTGAACGGTCTGCTTTCGTCAGTAAAGTGCAACAAGTGCGACGAAGGGTCGATACGCCTCGAGACTACGCACTGCCTTGGACTCGCGGCGAGGATGGAACTTTTTTGTGACAATTGTGGCATAGTGAACAGTGCGTGGTCGTCCCCGAGGTGCTCCGGGCAACAAAAAACGAACCCCTTTGAGGTAAACGTGCGTGCTTTGAGGGCTGTGCAGTCAGTTGGCAGAAAACAATCTGCCATAAATGACATTTTTTCTGCGATGGACATTTCGCATCGAGCACTGCACCACAAGTCCTACCAGAGACTGCAAAGGAAGTACAGCCACCCTGCCACCACATCAGCTGCCACCCGCATTGAACCAGAAAGTGCACAGAAGGTGCATGACATTTACAAGGACCTAGGAGGAGTGCCAGGCAACATTGACGTCATTTACGACGGCACGTGGATGACGAGGGGGCACAGAAGTCATATTGGCGTGGGCTGTGTAATCGAGCTGTACACAGGCTTGGTTGGTCTTGGACCACTGTGTCCTGTCCAACTACTGCCAAGGCTGTGCTGTTGGCCCCAAGCCTGGTGACGACAACTATGAGGAGTGGCTTGAGAAACACAAGCCACAGTGCCAAAAGAACACTGATGCTAATGCAGGCCAAATGGAAGTAGAAGCAGCTAGGATCATGTTTGAAAGATCGTTTACCAAGTACAAGCTTCGATACATCAATGTGCTCTGCGACGGTGACAGCCGTACGTACCTTGCCCTCACGCAAGACAAGGTGTATGGCTACATGGTGATTAAGAAACAGGAGTGTGTGAACCATGTGAAAAAAAGAATGGGCACTTCCTTGCGCAACCTTCTTGATGAGCACAAATCCAAAGGCCGAGGACTGAGCATGGGTGGCAAAGGCCGGCTGACGCAGGGCCTGATAAAGAAGTTAACGAATTATTATGGCTGGGCCATTAAGAGCCACCCCAACGATGTTCCTGGCATGGAGAGGGCCATCATGGCCACTTATTACCATGTAACATCCACAGACCAGGATCCACACCACGACCTGTGCCCAAGTGGGACTGACTCCTGGTGCCCGCACAATCAGGCATTGGCCAAGGGAGAGCCGCTGCCGCCTCACAAACATAAACTGCCCCCTCACGTGCGAGTGGCACTGCTGCCAATCTACAAGCGCCTCTCGAACAAAGAGCTCCTTGAAAGGTGTGCGCAGGGAAAAACCCAGAACGCTGTGGAGAGTATGAACAGCCTCATTTGGTCACTCCAGTCCAAGAGCCAGTTCGCCTCCCTTCGAAGTGTGGAAAGTGCAGTGGCAGATGCAGTCTGCCGTTTCAATGGTGGCTGCAAGAGTGCGCTGCAAGAGCTCACTGCTCAACTGGGCTTCAATCCAGGAGACTGCTCTTTGCGGCGAGCAGCCGAAAAGGATGCCAAAAGGGTGAAGAGGGCTCAAAAGGTGCATTGTTCCACGACAAAGAAGTGCAAAACTGGGTTGCGCTCTACAGAGGCCAAGGCCACAGCATCTCAGGATTACTGCCCAGGAGGATTCTGAGTGTTTTAGGCATGTTGTGAACTTCCAAACAAGAGTGAACTTTCAAAGTCAGTTTTCTCAACTCTTGATTTTCGCCTATGTGCCTTCGCTAGAACATCTGTCATTTTCTAACAAAGACTGATAGAGTCGTTCCGTTTTTTGCACTAGGCTCAGGAGGCCTTTAGCAGTGCAATAAAGCTTTATCTCTCTTCTTACTCATCATTTAAAATTCTTAGAACACATTTTATAATTACTGCGATGTGTGTGCAAAACAACATCCATGTTTTGGAAATTTTATTTATGGTTACAAGAACTAGAAAAATCAACTAATAGCTTCTTTGCACAAGTTGATGCTTTGGGAACATAATAATATGAAAAAATAATTTCATTTAGCAATAATTATCTCTTTAAGTGTGAAGAGCATTAATTAGTATAATTATGCTTGTAACTCAAGAAGTACAAGAGGTATTTGAAAACGGTTTTCATATTTGGAATCCTCACAATCATCCACATACACACACCAAATTTCATCACAAACAGTACATTAATAAAAAAATTAGTTTTACTTGCCACGTCCCCCCTTAAGTAGTATGGGGTGACACAAACAAAGTCTGAAAAGGCCACTATCACGGCACAGTACCGCGAACCCTAAGATAAGCACCTCCTCGAGCACAGGTGAAGACAAGGCAGTGAAATTCACTCGTTGAGCAGCATTTGCGAGGGCACCGGCACATGATGTGTGATCTGTTTTAGGTTGTAACACGTGGGCACAGTGTTTTCAAAGGGGCCAGGACACCGAAATCACACGAATGCCAAGTGACTTGGCAGCCTCGCCTAGACGTGCGCATTCCCTTCCTTGTTTGCTCACGCATTATAACATGTGGGCCCGAAAAGCATGGCCTTTGAGATCAGCAACCTAGCGACAATTTTTTGGCATTTTTCAATTATAGAGTACACACCTCGGAGGCTACACTTTTTCTTGCTTTCCGCTTGCTGCTACAAATCCCCTAGTGCCATCGCCATCCCCAAGATATAAATGATAGCGTACATGGTCGCTTGTTGTTTGTAGACAGCGTTGTCACTGTCGGTTTGTGCACTTCTGTAGTTTTTGTCCCCTCACTGCTGAATCTTACATCTGGAGTCGAATTAAAGATTTCATCACTCGTAGCGATAAAAATAATTACTGGTGCTTGAAACGAAGTCTTCTCATGGGCTTTGGTGACAGGCGACATTGGCGTGCGTCATCTTAGCCGACGACGGCGTACATTGCCTCAGCAAAGTTTGCTACTTATTAGCATTTCCAGGCACTACTATGGACGGAAGAGAAGGCGACTTCATCAGTACAGAGGACGACGTCGCTGTTTCTGACTGCATCGATGCTGATATCATGGCTGACGCTGCCAGTGTCATGGAAGAGGACCCATGCGGTTATGAAGACGTAGTGCCACAGCTAAATAACATTTGACTGCGCTACAGAGCTTTCATCGGCGCTCGCTGCCAATTACTGCTGTTGTGGTTGAAGGGGCTGAATTCGCTTATTTTGAATGCTCGATTAATGAGGCTGACCTGAGGAACATGACGGTGCGCAAAGGGCAAGACAAGTCTACAGACTGTTTTCAGACAAAATAAGTGAGGTAACTTGCGAAAGAAGTTGTCACGTTTCTCAAACATACTGTGAGCGAATGGTCATGCTTACACTTTTTCCGAAAGCCATTTCGAGACTTGCAATGCACAGAGTTCGTACAGGTTTCCAAGGTTAAAATTCAAGGATATTTTTAAGAACTTTTAAGAACCTGTTAGAAGTTCAAGATTTGAGTAGAATGCAAAGTTGCAATTTTCCCTTCGAAAATTATAAAAAATGACTCATCTTATTACACTTGCAAGACACTAGCACTGATAGCGCCGGGCAGAGCATCGGCCGTTGATCAACTGACAAGCTGGGGAGCGTGTCGGCACTTATACACTTGCCATCGAATATTCTAGTGTTATCGCTAGCAGCAACGTAGGTTTCACAATAAACAGAAAGGTTTACGAAGTGGGCGTAATCTTAACAAAACGATCTACTACAGCATCGAAGCTTCTCTAACACCGCAGGCATGGTTTGCGCTGAGCATAGTGTAATGGGGCGATAAGAAAACTTTAAAAAAGGGACGAAATCCTTTTTATAATGAATTTTTTCAGGAATATGTCGATTTCGCTATACCCAGGTTTAACTGTACATGCCTGTCCCACCAACGCAAAGACGAAAACTGCAGCAGACACTCCGCGGACTGGTGACTGTGCCGTACCATGCCTGTGACTGATCGTTCCACGTGCACAAGCCCCTCACGGCTGTCGGACAATGACACCTACAATTCGGACGCATTTCGATGTCAACGGGCATCACTGATCCTTCTCAATGAAGCAAAACAGATTTTCGTATCTGCTTGCCTGGCTGCGCATAACTCCAACAGATGGCACTACTAGTCTAGGCCATCCAAGTTTGTGGCTGCACTATGTTATCAAGCTCAGACATAAAAACAATTACATTCTGTACAAGATTGTGCATGCCGACCCCCCCAAACTGCAGACTACTTTAACATACCAGAGTGCAAAAGAATCTAAGCGAAAGGATAAAAGTTGCTATTAACAAGCCATAGGCCCATCACAATGATGTGCTTCCAGCTCATGGCTGGAAGATGCTGCTGTACACCTGTGTTTTGCCAAAGACTATGCCAATAAAAAAAAAAAAAGAGTTCCTTGAAGGGGCAGTTATGTATATGTGAGAATAAAAGAGGAGTCCTGAAAAAGGTTAAAGAGTGGTTTGAAATGTTGTGCTGGAATCAACCGAGAGCAGATTTGAAGCTTCCAAACGTTCAAGTCTTGGACTCAAACAAAGGCCGTATTTGCCCAGAAGGGAAGCATCTGTCCCAGCTGACTGGCGTCGACCTGGCCATCATATTCGTACCTTGCAGTACGACATCACAACTACAACTGTTGCATGTCGCCAAGCAGCACAAACACGGGCACAAGCAGCACAAACATGGGGCTGTCACAAAAGTGTGAAAACGCTATTCTGTGTATTCGCCCTTTCTGAAGGTACCTTGCTTTTGGTTCCTTCACTGCCTGGGAATGGCAATTATACAATGTCAGCTGCCACCAGAAGTTGGGAGTTGAAATAAATTACTCCTTTATGTTCGACACTAGTGTGGTTATACAGTGCAATGCCTGCTGCCTTTTAGAGGCCGAGTAGAAAAGCACATTTAGTTGCACACCAATATGTATAGCATGAAAGCTGATCAAGCTCTGCAGCTCACCAAATTCCAGTTATCTGTTCATTAGTAATGTAGACAAGCAATAAGCTTCACCATGTACAGCAATGGTAAAAGCATGCTAGCACACCTGTACTTGGGCAGGATCAATCATGTCCTGGGGAATGGTGAAGGCACCAAGTAGAAAGCCACCTCCTTCACGTGGATGTGGCAGCCCACCAGACGCACTTCCCCTGGGCCCTCCACCTCCCAAGGTAGAACCACTAGTGGCAGCCCCTGATGATGAACCCCCAGAGGATAGCTGCGGTGGTGGCCTTTGCACCAGGTGAATAACTTTGCCATTAACATCTGCACACAAAAGGCCACAAACTACTATTCAGAAAACCCACAGGTGCAGAGTGAGGTAACGGCTTCCACTGCAGTAACGAATGGCACCAGCAGTATCCATATGGATGCCAACAGAGTGACAAATGAAACAAAAAGGTCAGTGCAATAAGAGACAATGGATCTATAGAAAGAATATCCCATACATAGTATAATGATTTAATATATATATATATATATTACTCGCATTTCTCATGCTTTCTTGGTGCTAGAACAGTGGTGATTTACATATGATCATTAAGAAAGGTCATATACAGTAAAACTAATGCCAAACAGGGGGTGTTAGTAAGAATCCAAAACATGCAAAACCCAATATATAAAAATATCGAGCCCTCATGTTCAACATCTTCAATGCGTCGTGGGCCCTGCCGCGGTGGTCTAGTGGCTAAGATACTTGGCTGCTGACCCCCAGGTCGCGGGATCTAATCCCGGCTGCGGTGGCTGCATTTCCGATGGAGGGGGAAATGTTTTAGGCCCGTGTGCTCAGATTTCGGTGCAGATTAAAAGAACGCCAGGTGGTCGAAATTTCCAGAGCCCTTCACTACGGCATCTCTCATAATCATATGGTGGTTTCGGGACGTTAAACCCCACATATAAATCAATCACTGCGTCGTGGGTCGCCAATGGGTCATGACCTGTGCTCCCTGTATGCGGCTGCAAAGTTACGTGCATATATCTGCTTGTGGCTGCAAGAACTTAATGAGACTTGTATGCAAAGGTACAATTTCTTTTTGCATGAGGACACACACCTCCAGGAGAAAACTTGCCAGATGTTAAAGGCGCACTCACCAGTGATCCATGACGCACTCAAAAATGTTTTTGTCCTGTGTGCTGCATGACCTACTAGTAACCCACACGTGAGAGTTCATCTTGTACCATGCCTAGATTTCGAAAGTGCAACTAATATATAAGGTCTATAGCATTGGAGGTGAAGTGCTGCGATTGTTTCTAAGGAACCAAGTGGCGGCACATTCTTCCATTGTGTCACTCAAAAACTTTTCTAGCAGTTTTTTTTTGTGAAATATGTGCCATTGGACTAAGTGTAGAAGCTTTCTTTTCTGCTCCGAAGGTATTCAGCACGCATAATGGAAGCTCATACCTTTTACGAGCACAAAAGAAAGCTCAGCACAGAGTAAATAAACAAACTTATCACAGAAACTGACTTCACGTGTTTTTTGTGGCAAGCTCTTCATATTTAAACATAGATTTATGTAAAGAAGGCGGAAAACTGTTTTCAGTCTTTAAAACAAATATGCCATATGCCTGCTGCAAAGGTGGCAGTGCCACCTTTTTAGAGGAAAAAATAGAGGCATAGCCGTATGTCCCGTTGCTGGGTCACGACGCACCTGGGGCATATACCCAATGGCCCACTGGAGGGTCACCCCGCATAGAGAACCAGACTAACAAAAAGCAGCATTCTGCAGTAAACCTGTCAACAACAAAGCCATTTTTGCTCTGCATAAAATGTCTGTTGTGACCCACACTATTATTACCATGAATTGGCCCACGCGCTCTACTTTTTTATCTGCTTCGATCAGAGAACACATGCGTCGATTTGCCAAGGAGGTGAGTGAGGTAGGTGATAAATAGAGAGAAAAGAAAATAGAAAATCTTGGCAAAAAAAAAAAAAATCCCCAGGAGGCAGTGGTATTCCAACCTTCATTCTCACAATCTGAAGGGGGGCGTCTTGACCATTCTGGTATCCCACACTGATGGAACATAGTATAACCTTGTATGTCATTTTATAGCAAGAGTGTTCGAAAAGGAGGGTGAGAACATAAAAAGGTGAGAAGAAAAGGAAGAGGGGAGAGAGAGTAAAGCCCAGCATATAAAGAATGAGAAGGGAAAAAAATAAATGCGGAAAAGATAAATGAAGAAAAAAAGGCTTAGGCTTTCTATATCTCATCGGCTTTCTAAGAAAGGAAATAAAAAGAAATATAAATAGACAAAAAACAGAATAAAGAGAGAGAAAAACAAGGTTAACAAGAAACAAAGAAGGCTGGGAACGAGCTCATCACTTCCTTCAGGCTTGGCAGCGCTAATGCGTAGCTACTAATGTGTTCCATTGTCTCTTTCGCATTTCGCCTCCAGTGCATATTTCACAAAGTTTATTTTCACAATAAAGGACTCCAGTAATATTTTGCAATACGTATTTCAGTTTTTGTTCTGTGTGCTCTTTATATTTACAAGAATTCTAAATGCATTGGAACTGAAAATGGAATGAACTGAAAAAATAGACCCATGCAATATTTAGTTATGGTTACCACGAAAGAATACTTGTGTGCAAATAAAATGAGGCAAATCTATAACGTACACAGACATGTATTCAACAATTTTTAGTGGCTTAGTGTGCCAGTGATGGCAGCTAGGCAAATGGTCCTTCTGGTGAGTCAACACCAGTAAAGCTTAAACAATTATTTGCCTTTTACGGAAATGCTGGGGCAATAATAACTCCATTTTCACAAGTTGGACGACACTTTGATTATGTGCTTACAGATTGCTTTTCAGCTAGCACCTGCTAATAACAATTACTGGGGTTTCATGCCCCAGAACCACCATACGAATAGAAAAGATGCCTTTTGGTAATTAAGTGAATAATGGCAACATTAGGAACTCAGTAAAACTAATATTTACAGCATATTCACTAGCTACAAAGCCATGGTGTACATGCAACAATGCCTAGAGCGCAAACTGAGGAACCGAGTTCGTTGTGCAGAAACATTAATATAAATACTGAAACCACACACACACAAAAAAAACACAGAACAAATGAGCAGCAATGCAAGAAGACCGAGCAAGCCAAAAAAGTAAAACGGCAACACAAACCAAAAGGCAAGGGAACAACAAAGGAAAAATGCAGAAACCTTTGCTTTCATTTTCTTCTACTCCCAGTAAGTTAGTGAAGCAAGGCATAGCAAGCACTTGTCTTTTAAATGCCAGCACAGCTTTTTGCTGTGCTGGCAAAAAATGCTGTGCTGACAAATCTTGCCAGCACAGCATTTTTTGGAGCTTCGAAGCTCAAGCATTCCACCTCAAGGCTTCAGGCTTTCCAGAAGCATTCACTGAATATGCCGCAGAGTTTTATCTTTCGGATTATTAAAGCTGGGCGGAAAACAAGTCAAGATCCAGCCACAGCACGATGAAGAGTGCGAGGTTGTCGTTCTTCCATACTAACACTAGCTATCTCACAGCTTTAAGAGTAGTGACACAAAAATTTTGCACTGTTCTTTTTTTTTCAGTCAAATAAAAGGCAAAGCCCTCAAAAGCCTAGATAGCACCCTGAGAAAGTAATTCCAACGTGTTTTCGAAAGCCAGTTTCTGTTGCTACTGTACCCAAACATCGCAACATGGTATGAGCCTCCCATAACGTGCTCGTGCAAGATACTGTAATGTTTCCACAGCAGCTCCAGACCGTGGCTCCATTGATGATGAACATGCGGTTATTTACCATGTTTCGATGATGCAATAATGGCCATCAAAGTTTTAGTGCCTGACGTCATCACAACTAGCCAGATTGCTGCATGAAATAGACATGTGGCAGCTTGGGCTAGTTGGTATGGCATGACGATAGTTATTGCGCGAGAACAAAACGACGACACAGAGACAAGAAGGAGACGAAGTACTGCACTGAGTGCAACTCTGTGCCCCTTTTCAAGAACACAGCGACGCTGTACAAGCACAAGGATGAGCGCACCCGAGTCATCGCCAAGGCCGTGCAGATGGCACGCGAACAGGTGTCATGCATTAGCAAGCCCTCCGTGTCTCTGTCCGAGAAGGAACTAAGGTTCCTCGAAGGTTTTGTTGCGCGCAAGTAGTTACGTTACCTTTACTTTTCTGTTTCGTTTCCTTATAGACTTTTCTTTGCCTTTTTCTGTGCTTTTGTTTTTTTGTTTTTTCTCTTAATCATGTTTTGCTCTTTGTGCCATATGGTTTTTGTCACATGGTTACTGTCTCCTGTATATATTTTCGCGCTCTGCGCAATAAACTCAGTTGGAAGTTAGCACTCACGTCTTTCGTCTCCTTCTTGTCTCTGTGTCGTCGTTATGTTATCGCGCTATAACTATCGTCGTGCAGCGTGAAGTCACGAAAAAATTCAAACTGTAGCCAGACATCAAGCTGCTGTTAATGTCAGTAGGTGCACCACGAGAAAAACGATTTTAAAGGGACTTACAACATGAAATAAGATAACTATAGTGATGAAAAACTTGTTCGTCATATTGACTCAAGTCTACATGATTTTCTCACGAGGTGGATTTATATTTGTTTTTTCATCAAAAAACACAAAAAAATGATGCGTAGCGTGCCTCTGGTGGCAAAAACATAAATGATCCGATGTACCTGGCTATGTGACCATTAAATGCTGTATGCGGTCAACTTTTTTTTTTGCATGTTACTATTAAAATATTGTCTCTTTATAGAGTTTATAGCTAGATAAAATTTTTAGAGCATCCCAGATTTTGCTACCTGCACTTAGAAATGATGTGGACTACTACACGTCACGGCCGTGCACATGCGTAGCGATGCTTTTGAATACTTGGTATTGGCTCTATATCGGGAGAGTAACAAAGCCACGACAAGCCACTATGACACAGGCAACTTTGGGTGCACACACAACTCACTACAAATACAGGAAAGGTGTATAATGCCACATCTCATTTTACCAGCCGGTGGTAATATAGCAATATAATGGAAAAGCTCAAAATAAAGGTAAATAGACATAGTTGCAAGAACTCCTGCAAAAGCAGAACAACAGTTTTCATAAATTGCAAGAAGGGCTGGTGGCATCGCTATCAATTTTCAGCGTCACTGGAGAAAAGGTACATCTGTGCAGAGCCTTTCCGATTGAAAAATGCTGCTTGTAAAATAACTACGGACTTTTAGGATCAACTACTGCAGCCACAAACATTACGAAGGATGAGCTTTCTGTCTTGCAAAAAAAAAAAAAAAAAAAAAAAAAAGGCTGA